AGCACACACATATATGATATTATATTGTATAATGTATACAACGTATGTCTCCAATAGAAAGCACATAAATCAGCAACGCGAAAAAGCGCCTTGTATTTCTTCGCTGCACACAGGCGACACCTGCCGGCGCCGACACCGACGTGTGTCGTGTATAAATGTACGTGTGTACGTACGTTTATACGTGTGAACAGCTTTCTACAATCAGCTTTCCGCTGACTCATGCTCTTTAAATCGTCGTTAGATGGCGTCGAAACGTCGTGTCTTGGCTTCAGGCATACTCCATACCAGCTTGCTTGCATTATGTGGTTATCGCGCTCGAGGCGGGCCGACTGCGGCGACACCGACGTCGTAATCAGCGGCGGAGGCTTCTTGAGCTTCTTCACGATCTCTGGTAGAGCAGAGAAAATCAGGAGAGAGTGATGAGCGGGGAGAGAGAGGAGAGAGAGAGAGAGAGAGAGAACCGAGAGAGAGAGAGAGATAAGAGACAGAAGAGATTTAGACAGAGAGCGCGCGAAAGAGAGAGAGAGAGAGAGAGAAGAGAAGAGAGAGAGAGAGAGAAAGAGAGAAAAGAGACGAGAGAAGATAGAGGAAAAATTGAGAGAGAGAGAGAGAGATTTAGAGAGAGAGAGAGAGAAAGAGAGAGGAAGAAAGAGAAAGAGAAAGGCAAAAGAGAGAGAAGAAAGAGAGAGAGAAGAATAAAGAGAGAGGAAGAAAGAGAGAGCGAGCGAGAGAGAGAAAAGATAGAAAAGAATTTGAGAGAGAGAAGAGAGAGAGAAAGATAGAGAAAAATTGAGAAGAGAGAGATTAGAGAGAGAAAGAGATAAGAGAGAGGGGGGAGAGACGAGAGAGAGAAGAAATGAGAGAGAGGCAAGAAAGAAGAGAAAGAGAGAGAGAGAGAGAGGATGTATCGCGAGAACCTGCTTGTGTTTGCAACTAGCGTGTTTGCATCGCTAGTATTTCTACGGGGACAGCTTTTTAATACAGGGGCGGTGGCAATAATGTGGGTAAAGCGGTCACTGTACGGGCTCTACAGCCTATGATAGCAGAGAGTGAGTGCATTCTGGCTGCGTACAAGCGATAAGGCGGAAAATTACTTTTAGTAATACATTTAAGAAGCTGCAGCGATGACGGCTGTCCTGGCGTTTTGGTGATTCCTGGGCGAAACCTAGGGTATACATAATTATACCTTATTATATTTTATAGCGCTATACAGTATTTATTTATGTTATTTATTTATGTTTCATTATTTATTTGTTTATTTAGTTTCTAATCGATATATCATTAATAATTTTATTATATTTATTTATTTATTTATGTTATTCAATCATTATTATTTATTTATTTCATCGACATATATTATAATTAATTTTATATATTTATTTATAATTTATTGCTATTTATCATGGCATTTATTTACTAAAAACATTAATTGTGAGATACAGCGGACAAGCTAACAAGCCTAGACTGATCCCCTACGTAGTTGCGAAAAACGTCTCCGCGCTACAGAGACGCTTGGCGTCAGTCTATATGGCAGGTTAGTATATACTTACTTATACCAATTCTGGCGTGAGGCTGATGCTGGGCGAAAGGCGCGCTACGCAGGATTAGCTCTGACAGAATGCGCGTAGGCGAAGGGTAGACGCCGCCGTCTTGTGTGGCCTTTCTTACATCAGCGGCCGTGTTCCTGAGCAGCTCCGGTGCCGACCACAGCAAGTCTGCATCATCAACGATGATGCATAAGCATAGCACACGGTGTGGAGTCGTCGTACACGAGCATGTGTGTGTTGGGGGTGTGTGTGTGTGTGTGTGTTTGTGTGTGTGTGTGTGTGTGTGTGTGTTGTGTGTGTGTGTGTGTGTGTGTGTGTGTGTGTGGGTGTCGTGTGTGCGTATGTGCATATGTGTGTGTATGTGTGTGTGTGTGTGTGTGTGTGTGTGTGTGTGTGGGTGTGGTGTCGTTGTGTGTGTGGCATGTGTGTGTGTGTGTGTGTGTGTGTAGTGTGTGTGTGTGTGGTTGTGTTTGTGTTTGCAGTGTGCGGCTCGTACATGCGGTGTAACTCAATCATTTTCATTTTCCTATATATCCAATAATTCCATATTCTTAGCTCTGCTCGATAATCTTTCTCGTCTCTCTCTTCTCTCTCTCTCTCTCTCATCTCTCTCTCTACCTCTCTCTCTGCTCTGCCTCTGTCGTCATCTCTCTCTGCTGCGCTCTCGAGCGAGCGTGAAGATGGATGTCTCTCGTCTCCGCTCATCGCGTCATCTCTCTCGTCTCTGTCTCTCGATGCTCCTGCTCTGCCATCTCTTCCTATATATCTATCAATCCTATCTATCTATCTATCTATCCTATCTATCGTATCTATCTTATCTATCTATCTATCTATCTATCTATCTTATGCTATCTATAATCCTATCTATCTATCTATCTATGCTATCTATCGTATCTATCTATCTATCTATCTATAATATATTCATATATCAATATATATCTCGTGAACAGGCGGCCATTGAGGCGGCGATGATCAGATAGAGAGCCGCAGTCAAGGCGTAACGCATGAACAACGCGTGCAGATCGCCGCGCGGCGGTGCGGCGGTGTAGCGTGATAACGCCCGGCGGCTGCCCGCGTCCGCGCGGCGGTGATAGCGGTCGCGCGCCGACAAGCGGCGACAGCGTGCGGCGGTGGTTCACCCACGATGCGGCCGGTGCGAGCGTGTAGTATAAAAGCGAAGCGACAAATAGCGTATTATATGGCAGTTGTACTGCATGTAACATTAGTTAGGAAGTTATATTGAGCGGAAGAGATGTTGACGCGTAGGGAAGAAAAACTGTAGCGGTTTGTTGAGAGAGTAAGCAGGAAAGGTGGCGTGTCAACAGAGAGGGGCGAGTGTCCACTCGGGAAGAACCACAGTGTGATATGAGGCAGGTAAACGGGAGAAAGCGATTGTGAGCTCGAGAAAGGAATGGCGATTTGGGAAGAATTATTGTAGCCGTAACTGAAGTCAGCGTGAGATGTAAAAATATAAGGGCAATCGAATTCGCGGGGAAAGGCATAGGTCGAAACAAAAAGTGTGAGACAAAAAGCAGTCGAGACAAAAAGGACGGAGTCGGAGTGAGAGTTGAACGAAGGAGTTAAGGAGTGAAACAGTGGAGAGAGAGAAAGAAGAGCGCGCGTGAAAGAGTGAGAGAGAGAGAGAGAGGGTGAGTAAACGAGAGAGAGAGAGAGAGAGAGAGAGAGTTTGTGTGAGAGTGAGTTAGGAGAGTGAGAAACAGTTAGAGTTCGCTGCATGTTAAGGGGGTCCGGGGCACACGCGCAGGCCGATTTTTCAGCGCGATTTGATCGGACCCGACGCTAAAAATCAGATGCCGATATCGGGTAGTGTGCGCGTTCAATTGTAAGAGATTTTACTATACGATTATTTTTTATCGGTGATCGTTCCAAATCAAACATGTTTGATTTTTGAAGCCGATTATTTTGAAGGCGATTTTTCGTGTAAATCCGACAAGATTTTGTGGTGTGCGCGTGAACTCAGAAAAATCCTCTACGATAAATATTGAACAGCCAATAGCTGAACGTGCCCGTGTCACATGACATTTACATTTTATCGTAGGTTTATTATGACATCACATTTTATCGTAGGTGTGCGCGTGTTTATCGGAAGGCGTCGCGATGAGCCGACTTTACAAACGATAAAGAGATTTTTAATCGGACCGATTTTTGGGCTGGTGTGCGACGGCCTTTAGCGGAGTACAGAACGAGATAGTTGCAAGAGTATGGTCGAGAGTAGAGCAGCGTTTACTGTGTGTGTATCGGTGTATTGCTTCACTACATGTGTGTGCGTATTGAAAGATTGGTGCGTCTGGGTGTCAACCCGTAATAAACCGCCTGGCTCGTCACGTCATATTATTACTCAACTACTTTCTTCGGCTCTCTTTCTGAACTTCACGTCTTCGGCACGCTTTTCCTTTACGAGCTGACGTCGGGTGTAGACGACGGAGGGGGAATATGCTCTGTGATACAGAGTAGGCAAACACAACGCACGCACGGGCTCTATCAAGCCCGTGTGAAGGGTACGACAGAGAAGAGGAAGAGAAGAAGGAGACTGAGCAGAGCCAGACCAGTCGGGTAGCGCGCATGCTACATGGTTTGGTGCTGTTAGCGAATGTCACGACCACGTCGACTTCTTTGCCGGAGTCCCGCACGCTACATAAGTGGCCCCGCGACCAGGGCGAACGCTACAATATATATATATACTAGAGCACTCGGAGAGCACAGACCACCGCCAAGGCAGCTGAATTCTCTGAATGTTAAAAATTTAATTAATTAATTAAGTGGAAAAATTAATTAATTAATTAATGCGAGCGTGCGAGCGTGCAGGTGGGGGAGGACTGTGGTTGCCCCTTAGCCTGTGGTTGCGTGTTTGTAAGTCTACAGCCAGCGCACCTAGCGGAAGTGAACTAAAACGTGCATGTTCACAAACCCACAAACCAACACTCAAACACACGCCGGTGAAAACATAACCTCCGCCAAGCCCCTGGCGGAGGTAATAATACGTGTTTTTAATATATGTACCTTTAGCAGTTGTGGATTTCTCGACGTGCTTTCCTTCGTACAGCATCGGCAGACCGTAGTCTGTGACCTTCAGCACCCAACGGCTGTCGATGAGAGTGTTACGGGAGCTGAGGTGACCATGCAGCTTCATCGGGCTCGAATGTAGATACCGCATCCCCTGTCCAACGACACGAACAATCAGATAACCTCTCTGATACTCACACTATGTCCGGAATCTGTGTATTCGTTCCGAACACCTTGATCCGGATTTAGGGTAAGCTACTCGCCGCACTCACAAACCGGGCGGAGAACGTATTGATATCACGCACGAGATCCGGGTGCGACAGCTGCAATGTATAATATTCTATGCTGTATATATATATATAATGTTTGTCGGTTTCGAGTGTATTCACCGAATCCGAGTCCCTCTCACGTGAGAAAGTTTTTATTGTTAAATCACGCGCGCGCGCGCTGAATTCTACGTGAATACTACGCTGAAACTATTTTGATACTAATCACTTTTTTTGGAATGACGTGCTTCGTGGCACTTTAGGAAACATCAAGAGCTGTTATTCGACTAGTTTTGTCAGCTTCGTAGCATCACATTGCAAGTTATATTGTTACGCCGCTCTTCCTGCTCCTATGTTCCTTGTTCCTATCGTATTGTTTTGATTAATATAAACGCACGCATTTTGGCTTACGGCTAACAACAACAATAATAATAATAATAATAATAATAATAAAAGTAATAATAATAATAAATATATATTCTATTCATAGATGTCGTAGTCAGCAGGCAGGCATGCTGAAGGAAGCTACATCCAGGGGCCACGGAAGATGTTCGAGCGAGCATACATGCGAGTAGATACCGGCTAGGAGTGTGAAAGATGCGATTGAGCACGATTATAGGGGACATTACCTATCGGATAGAATGTAGCATCGACTATAAAGACGAGAGGAACCTGTGTAGCGGTCGTATATACGCAATCCGACCCGCATCTTGCGGAACGCATAGAGGTTAAATAATGGCGGGCGAGTGAGTAAAGGCGGACATACAGTCAACTGTATTACCGAGTAAATGATAGATATCACACACGTGTACGTACACACGCACGCACGCACGCACGCACGCACGCACGCACGCACGCACGCACGCACAGCCGCAGCAAGGCGTGAACGCATGAACAACGCGTGCAACGCGCGCGCGGCAGTGCGGCGGTGATAACGCGGCGGTCTGCCCGCGCGGCGGTGATAGCGGTCCGCGCGCGCGGGCGAGCGCGCGGCGGTGGTTCACACGCGCGGTGCGAGCGTGTAGGTATAAAAAGCGAGCGACAATAGCGTAGCAATTGTATGCAATTGTATGCATGTACATTAGCTTAGGAAGTTATATTGAGTGGGGAGAGATGTTGACGGTAGGACGGTAGCGGTTGTGAGAGAGTAAGCAGGAAAGAAAGAGGCGTGTCAACAGAGAGGGGCGGAGTGGTCCAATCGGGAAGAACCACGTGTGATATGACGCAGGTAAACGGAGAAGCGATTGGTGAGCTTCGAGAAAGGAATGCGATTTGGGAGACATTATTGTAGCCGTAACGAAGTCACGTGATGATGTAAAATATAAGCAATGGGAATTTCGCGGGGAAAGCAGTCGAACAAAGAGTGTAGACAAAAGCAGTCGAACAAAGAGTGTAGACAAAAGCAGTCGAACAAAAGGACGGAGTCGGAGTGAGAGTTGAACGAAGGAGTTAGGAGTGAAACAGTGGAGAGAGAGAAAGAGAGCGCGCGTGAGAGTGAGAGAGAGAGAGTAGTTCGACTGTCGTGTCTACGATGAGTTCAGTCACTAGATTTATACGTATCACATGTTGTACTATTATCACCATGATCTATATTATTATTAATTATAATATATCATATTAAATTAAATTGACGTGCACGCACGCGTATCTTTGTGTGTGTGTGTGTGCGTGTGTGTGTGTGTGTGTGTGTGTGTGTGTGTGTGTGTGTGTGTGTGTGTGTGTGTGTGTGTGTGCGTGAGTTATACGTACAAACTACTATAACGTCACCCCTTTAAAATTGTTCGTCGTTAATCAGGGAGAAAGAACCGCACACTCTCGATTCTCTAGGACTCCGGTTACACGGCTGCTTCAATGCACCTGGCTGAATACGCTATATTATACGCTAATAGATGTTACTGTAGTTTAGGAAGCAAGTCCTACCGAGCTCCCGCGCTGTTGTTCTTCTACGCAGCCAGAGCAGGAAATTGCTGCTGCGGCAAGCACGCGTTTTCATATGGCGAAACGACCACTGTAATTTGTCCTCACGCTTCGTACTTTGTAACGGACGACTGTTGTTATTATATACAACGTATCGATCCTTTCAGCCAATTAAAGATCGATATATCAAAATGTTGATGCCAGTTTTCTTTTGATGCTTCAGGCTATATTTTCTGCGGGAAATTTTTTCGTACGATTCGACGTACGCGCGCATGCACACATGCGTGCGCGAACGCACGCACGAACGTACGTAAGTAAATTAGGTATTTTATTCGATGTCTGTTCACGTCATTTACGATTTCAATAAATTTAATTTGGGCAGTTTTCACGGGCAAAATCTAAAACTAAAATAGATTGAAACTAAATAATCGTACTCAAAGTAATATTAAAACTGCATACGCGGACGAAAATAAATGTCTTCGCAAATAAAGTTTCTGTTACCTAGGCAACATATTGTAAAGAAGCTGGTCAGTCTTCTTCTTTTCCTCATCCAGTTGCTCGGTTCTCTCTCTCACGATCTCCTCCAAGTTGTTGGAGTATTTCTCTAGCATGGCGAACATAGTGTCAACTATGTTGGTTTTCCTGCGCGAACAGCGATCGACTGAGTTAAGCGCCTCCGAAATAACGCATTCACTCGTGCGCGCATGTACACACGCAAACTCACTCTCATGCACGCAAACACACGCGCATGCTCGCAAACACACGCGCATGCACGAAAACACACACGCATGTACGCAAACACACATGTATGCACGCACACATACACATACACATATACACACACACACACACACACACACACACACACACACACACGCACG